AGCCATTTGGTCCAACCGGACATTGGACCAACAGGCCAGTTGGTCTAACCGGTCAATTGGACCAAGCAGGCCAGATGGTCCAGCCGGTCTATTGGACCAACGGGCTAGTTGGTCCAACCGGTCCATTGGACCAACAGGCCAGGTTGGTCCAACTTTACCATTGGACCAAACAGGCCAGTTGGTCTAGCTGGTCCAGTAGACCAACGGGCCAGTTGGCCCAACCAGACCATTGGACCAACAGGCCAGTTGGTCCAACCGGTCCATTGGACCAAAGGGCCAGTTGGTCCAACCGGTCAATTGGACCAACGGGCCAGCTGGTCGAGCAGGTCCATTGGACCAACCGGTCCATTGGATCTACAAGACAATTGGTCCAACCGAGGCATTGGACCAACATGCCAGATGGTCCATCCGGTCCATTTGAGCAAATAGGATAGTTGGTCTAGCTGGTCCATTGGACCTACAGGCTAGATGATCCAACCGGAGCATTGGACCAGCAAGCCAGTTGGTCCAACCGGTCCTTTGGACGAACAGGCCAGTTGGTCCAACCGGTCCATTATACAAACAGGCCAGTTGCCAACTGGGCCATTGGACAAACATGCCAGTTGGTCCAACCGGTCCATTGGACCAAGCATGCCAGTTGGTCCAACCGGTCCATTGGACCAAACAGGCCTGTTGGTCCAACCAGTCCATTGGACCAACAGCCATTTGGTCCAACCGGACATTGGACCAACAGGCCAGTTGGTCTAACCGGTCAATTGGACCAAGCAGGCCAGATGGTCCAGCCTGTCTATTGGACCAACGCGCTAGTTGGACCAACCGGTCCATTGGATCTACAGGACAATTGGTCTAACCGAGGCATTGGACCAACATTCCAGATGGTCCATCCGGTCCATTTGAGCAAATCGGATAGTTGGTCTAGCTGGTCCATTGGACCTACAGGCTAGATGATCCAACCGGAGCATTGGACCAGCAAGCCAGTTGGTCCAACCGGTCCTTTGGACGAACAGGCCAGTTGGTCCAACTGGTCCATTATACAAACAGGCCAGTTGCCAACTGGGCCATTGGACAAACATGCCAGTTAGTCCAACCGGTCCATTGGACCAAGCATGCCAGTTGGTCCAACCGGTCAATTGGACCAAACAGGCCTGTTGGTCCAACCAGTCCATTGGACCAACAGCCATTTGGTCCAACCGGACATTGGACCAACAGGCCAGTTGGTCTAACCGGTCAATTGGACCAAGCAGGCCAGATGGTCCAGCCGGTCTATTGGACCAACGGGCTAGTTGGTCCAACCGGTCCATTGGACCAACAGGCCAGGTTGGTCCAACTTTACCATTGGACCAAACAGGCCAGGTTGTCTAGCTGGTCCAGTAGACCAACGGGCCAGTTGGCCCAACCAGACCATTGGACCAACAAGCCAGTTGGTCCAACTGGTCCATTGGACCAAAGGGCCAGTTGGTCCAACCGGTCAATTGGACCAACGGGCCAGCTGGTCGAGCAGGTCCATTGGACCAACCGGTCCATTGGATCTACAGGACAATTGGTCCAACCGAGGCATTGGACCAACATGCCATATGGTCCATCCGGTCCATTTGAGCAAATCGGATAGTTGGTCTAGCTGGTCCATTGGACCTACAGGCTAGATGATCCAACCGGAGCATTGGACCAGCAAGCCAGTTGGTCCAACCGGTCCTTTGGACGAACAGGCCAGTTGGTCCAACCGGTCCATTATACAAACAGGCCAGTTGCCAACTGGGCCATTGGACAAACATGCCAGTTGGTCCAACCGGTCCATTGGACCAAGCATGCCAGTTGGTCCAACTGGTCAATTGGACCAAACAGGCCTGTTGGTCAAACCAGTCCATTGGACCAACAGCCATTTGGTCCAACCGGACATTGGACCAACAGGCCAGTTGGTCTAACCGGTCAATTGGACCAAGCAGGCCAGATGGTCCAGCCGGTCTATTGGACCAACGCGCTAGTTGGTCCAACCGGTCCATTGGACCAACAGGCCAGGTTGATCCAACCAAAGCATTGGACCAAACATGCCAGATGGTCCATCCGGTCCACTTGAGCAAATTGGACAGTTGGTCCAACCGGTCCATTGGACCAACAGGCCAGGAGCTCCAACCGGTCCATTATACCAACAGGCCAGTTGCCAAGTGGTCCATTGGACCAACAGGCCAGTTGGTCCAACCGGTCCATTGGACCATGCACGCTAGTTGGTCTAGCCGGTCCATTGTACCAACGGGCCAGTTGGCCCAACCAGTCCATTGGACCAACAGGCCAGTTGGTCGAACCGGTCCATTGGACCAAACAGGCCAGTTGGTCCAACCGGTCAACTTGACCAGACAGGCGAGTTGGTTCATTTGGTCCATTGGACCAACAGGCCATTTGGTCCAACCAGACTTTGGACCAAACAGGCCAGTTGGTCTAGCCGGTCCATTAGACCAACGAGCCAGTTGGCCCAACCAGACCATTGGACCAACAGGCCAGTTGGTCCAACCGGTCCATTGAACCAACAGGCTAGTTGGTCCAACCAGACCAATGGACCAAACAGGACAATTGGTCCAACCGGAGCATTGGACCAACATGCCAGTTGGTCCAACCGGTCCATTGGACCAAAGGGCCAGTTGGTCTTACCGGTCAATTAGACCAACGGGCCAGTTGGTCCAACCGGTCCATTGGATCTACAGGACAGTTGGTCCAACCGAAGCATTGGACCAAACATGTCAGATGGTCCATCCGGTACATTTGAGCAGATAGGACAATTGGTCTAGCTGGTCCATTGGACCAACAGGCAAGATGATCCAACCGAAGCATTGGACCAGCAAGCCAGTTGGTCCAACCGGTCCTTTGGACCAACAGTCCAGTTCGTCCAACCTGTCCATTATACCTACAGGCCAGTTGCCAACTGGGCCATTGGACCAACAGGCCAGTTGGTCCAACCGGTCCATTGGACTAAGCATGCTAGTTGGTCCAACCGGTCAACTGGACCAAACAGGCATGTTGGTCCAACCAGTCCATTGGACCAACAGGCCATTTGGTCCAACCGGAGCATTGGACCAAACAGGCCAGTTGGTCCAACCGGAGCATTGGACCAATAGGCCAGATGGTCCAGCCGGTCTATTGGACCAACGGGCCAGTTGGTCCAACCGGTCCATTGGACCAATAGGCCAGGTTGGTCTAACTAAAGCATTGGACCAAACATGTCAGATGGTCCATCCGGTACATTTGAGCAGATAGGACAATTGGTCTAGCTGGTCCATTGGACCAACAGGCCAGTTGATCCAACCAGAGCATTGGACCAGCAAGCCAGTTGGTCCAACCGGTCCGTTGGACCAACAGGCCAGATGATCCAACCGAAGCATTGGACCAGCAAGCCAGTTGGTCCAACCGGTCCTTTGGACCAACAGGCCAGTTCGTCCAACCGGTCCATTATACCAACAGGCCAGTTGCCAACTGGTCCATTGGACCAACAGGCCAGTTGGTCCAACGGGTCCATTGGACCATGCAGGCCAGTTGGTCTAGACGGTCCATTGGACCAATGGGCCAGTTGGCCCAACCAGACCATTGGACCAACAGGCCAGTTGGTCCAACCGGTCCATTGAACCAACAGGCTAGTTGGTCCAACCAAACCATTGGACCAAACAGGACAGTTGGTCCAACCAGAGCATTGGACCAACAGGCCAGTTGGTCCAACTGGTCCATTGGACCAAAGGTCCAGTTGGTCCAACCGGTCAATTGGACCAACGGGCCAGTTGGTCGAGCAGGTCCATTGGACCAACGGGACAGTTGGTCCAACCGGTCCATTGGATCTACAGGAAAGTTGGTCCAACCAAAGCATTGGACCAAACCTGCCAGATGGTCCATCCGGTCCATTTGAGCAGATAGGACAGTTGGTCTAGCTGGTCCATTGGACTAACAGGCCAACCGGTTTTGCTGGTCCATTGAACCAACAGGCTAGTTGGTCCAACCGGTCCATTGGACCAAACAGGCCAGTTGGTCCAACCGGTCAACTTGACCAAACAGGCGAGTTGGTCCAATTGGTCCATTGGACCAACATGCCATTTGGTCCAACCAGACTTTGGACCAAACAGGCCAGTTGGCCCAACCGGAGCATTCGACCAACAGGCCAGTTGGTCTAACCAGTCAATTGGACCAAGCAGGTCCATTGGACCAACAGGCCAGTTGGCCCAACCGGTCCATTGGACCAACGGGCCAGTTGGCCCAACTTGTCCATTGGACCAACATGCCAATTCGCCCAACCGCTCCATTGGACGAACGGGCCAGTTAGCACAACCGGTCCATTCGACCAATGGGCCAGTTGGTCCATCCGGTCCATTGGACCGACGGGCCAGTTGGCCCATCTGGTCCTTTAGACCAACAGGCCAGTTGGTCGAACCGGTCCATTGGACCAACGGGCGAGTTGGCCCAACCGGTCCATTGGATCAACAGGCCAGTTGGTCCAACCAGTCCGTTGGACTAACAGGCTAGTTGGTCCAACCAGGGCATTGAACCAAACAGGCCTGTTGGACCAACCGGTCAATTGAACCAAACAGGCCAGTTGATCCAACCGGTCTATTGGACCAACAGGCCAGTTGGTCCAACTTGTCCATTGGACCAACAGGCCCAGTCCATTGGACCAACAGGTCAGTTGGTCCAACCGGAGCATTGGACCAAACAAGACAGTTGGTCCAACCGAAGCGTTGGACCAACAGGCCAGTTGGTCCAACCGGTCCATTGGACCATCGGGCCAGTTGGTTTAACCCGAACTTGCACCCTACAACTCATCCCCTTCTCCATCGTTTCCCCCTGTCCAGTGCCCACCCCCTCCCACACTGTCCTCCCTTTCCTCCCACACCCCATCCCTTCATACGTCCTCCCTGCACTGACCATTCAGCCACCATAGTCATTCATGCAGTGCCGTCCCCCCAGGGGAAAGGAGGCTGAGCTCGGATCAGCCCAACGCTGGGCAGGACCTCGGGCCTCTGTACCCCCTACCCTCCCCCTTCATCTACTAAGAAAAACCCGGTCACCAGCGAACAGGTAGTCACCGGCGACACAGGCACTGACCCCCGGGGTAAAATATGTGCCCTAGAAGAGACAGGAAAACAACCACACCCACCTGCGCATGACGAGAAACGAGAGGAGGCTCACCCACACTCTAAGACGCCCCAAAATCCACCTGTCCCCCCACAACCCCCCTCTCTGTCAACGGTGCAGCCCAGCAGGATGCGGAGCCGCTTTCCACCGCACCCACCCGCACCCATACCTGAAAGACCAAGTCACACAAAAAAACACAAATACCGGACCCAAACCAAGGGAACACAGCAGGGCCAACCTGTGGCCAAGAGAGGAGAGGAGGAAAATGGGAAATCCGGGGCTCCGGACCTGGACGTGCATGAGCGTAACGCTGAGCGAGAGGCCGAGGTGGGCGGGTCTGCTGTGGGAAAATTGGCAGGGGTTGCGGGAGTGGCGGCAAGGGATGCCGTAGGGGAAGCAAGGGATGCCGGGGGGACAGCAAGGGTTACAGTGGGGGCAGCAAAGGACACGGGGGGGATAGCAGAGGCTCCTGAAAAGGCGCTAGGGGCGGTGACTCTGGCCACAGAAAGGGTAGAGGCAGAGGCCATGTAATCATTTTTTACAGGAGATGGAGCCGCAGGAAGCGCAGTTGAGTTGGCTGTGGGAACCGCAGCAGGTGAGGCTGCAGGGACCGCAGCAGCGGATGCTGCAGAGACAGAAGGTGAGACTGCACGGACCGCAGGAGGCGAGGCTGGAGAGACTGCAGCAGGTGAGGCCGCAGGGACCGTAGCAGGTGAGGCTGCAGAGACCGCGGCAGGCGAGGCTGCGGGGACCAGAGCAGGTGAGGCAGTAGAACTCGCAGCAGGTGAGGCTGCAGGGGCCGCACCAGGTGGGGCTGCAGGGACCACAGCAGGTGAGGCGGCAGGGATAGCAGCAGGTGAGGCTGCAGAGACCGCATCAGGTGGGGCCGCAGAGACCGCATCAGGTGGGGCCGCAGAGACCGCAGCAGGGGAGGCTGCAGGGACCGCAGCAGGTGAGGCTGCATGGTCAGCAGCAGGTGAGGCTACAGAGACCGCATCAGGCCGCAGCAGGTGGGGCTGCAGGGACCGCAGCAGGTGAGGCTGCATGGACCACAGCAGGAGCGGCAGGGGCCACAGCTGGGGCTGGTATAGGTTGGAGGGCAATGGGGGCTGCAGCGGGGGAGAGTGTAGCGGGGTCTGGGGCAAGGGAGAGTACAGCCCCGGCTGTAGCAGGGAAGGGCGCAGCAGGTGCTGCTGTGAGGGAGGAGACAGCAGAGGCTACAGTGGCCATAGCACGCCCACTCGGGGTGGCAGGGGCCGCAGCACGCGTGGTAGAGGCCACAGCAGGGCCTGTAGGGGCTGTATCCGGCAGTAAAGGGCCAGCAGGAGGGGCAGGCCCAGGGGACATTGGGGCAACAGGGGCAAGAGGGGCGGGTGGGGTCCCAACTAAGGAGGTTCCTGAAGGAGGGGAAGTGATAGTGATGGGAGAGGATGCGGTAGAGGACGTGATGCACATCGACGCGCCACTGGCCCAATACCTCACTCCGGACGGTGAGGCCGACCCAGGCCCCCGGCAGCCTCGTAACGAGGTTCCCCCTTTCCCCCCCGTGCCCGACCCTATGCTGGAAGAAGGACCGATGGAGGGACTGGAGGAGACTTTGAGGACAGAGCCTCACGAGGGCGCTCCCATCTCTACCCCTCACCTTTCAGCCCACCCTCCCGCAGGATCATCACATCCTCGTCCCCACCCTCAGGGGCTCCCTCTAGCTTCGAGGGGGGTAGCCAGGGCCTTGGCCTTCTTTGCAGAGCCGTGCACCCCGAGTCCTACACAGTCTCGTGGCCAGCCCCCCCCTCTTTCCCCAACGCCTGGCCCCAAAGCCGCCCAAGGGCACTCCTTTTCACGCCTCTCACCCCTCCCCGCCCCTTCCCTCACTCCTTCCCTCGCCCCCAAGGGCTGCACACTCCTGCCCCCACACTCAGGGGTCCCCCCGAGCACCACGTGGAGCAACCAGGGCCCTGGCCTTCCTGGCGGAGCCATGCTCCCCGACCCCTAAATCCACCCAATCATCCCCTGCCAACCTCCTACCTCCTCCCCCACCAGGTCCTCCCCCACCCGGAGCTACACACATCTCGGAGGTTAAAGCCTCCCTCCGGCCACATCTCTCTCCCACACGCTACAAAGACCCAAACCACCCAAGTCGCCGCACATCCCCAACACTTTCACCCAACGGGCTGCCCTCCTCACACCACACCCCCCAGGCAGCCAAGTCCCACCCGCAAGGGCCTGTGGAGCCTCATGGGAGCGACGACACCCTGGAGGGGCCCACAGGAGGGGCCACTAGAGGGAGGGGCGCTGGCCCCAACTTTCAGCACAGGGGAGCAACCTCAAATACTCCTCTCCCACTCATTCCCCCACCCACAGCCACCTCGGAGCCACCACAAACCTCACTAGAGGGGGCGGGCTCAGGGGACATAGGGGCAGGTGGGGTGGGTGGGGTTCCAACTAGGGGGGTTTTGGGAGGAGGGGATGTGATAGTGAGGGACGAGGATGCGGTAGAGGACGGGATGCACATCGACGGGCCACTGGCCCACTACCTCACACCTGACGGTGAGGCCGACCCAGGCCCCCTGCAGCCTCATGACGAGGTTCCCCCTTTCCCCCATATGCCCGACCCCATGATGGCAGATGGACCGATGGAGGGGCTGGAGGAGAATTTGAGGACAGAGCCTCTCGGGGGCGCTCCCATCCTTACCCCTCATCCTCCAGCCCACCCCCCCCCCCCCTCCCCCCAGGAGCACCACATCCCCGCCCCCACCCTCGGGGGCTCCCTGTAGCGTCCAGGGGGGCAGCCAAGGCCCTGGCCTTCTTGGCAGAGCCGTGCTCCCCGACCCCTACGTAGTGTTTTGGCCAGCCCCCCCCTCTTCCCACAACGCCTGACACCACGCTTGCAGGCGGTCCGCCAGGAGAGCATGCGGGCACAGCGAGGGCAGAGCCTCCCACACTCAGCCCCATCCTTGCCTCTCACCCCTCCTCGCCCCTTTCCTCTCCCCTAAGAACAGCACACTCCCGCCCCCACCCTCAGGGGCTCCCTCTAGCATCACGGGGAGCAGCCAGGGCCATGGCCTTCTTGGCGGAGCCGTGCTCACCGACCCCTAACACCATCCAGTCACCCCCCACCAGCCCACTACCCCCACCCCCTCCAGGTCCTCCCCCACCCGGGGCTATGCACATTTCAGAGGTTCAAACCTCAACCCTGCCACACCCGCCTCCATCCGCGCATTGCCCCACACCCTACACACACCCAAATCACCCAACTCGCCGCAGTCCCATCCAACTCGCCGCAGTCCCATCCAAAAATCGGACGCGCTAAAATCGTCCTTTCTTTTTCCCGCTTGCCCCTCCCCCGGCACGTGCCGAGCAAGGGGCATAAATGGGTACAACACGAGGACTTCCCGGGAGGTCACCCAGCCCAGTAGTGCTCTCGCCCACTGGGGGGGCCACTGAAGGGGGGGATGTGATAGTGATAGAGGAGGATGAGGTAGAGGACGGCATGCACATCGACGGGCCACTGGCCCAATACCTCACGCTTGACGGCGAGGCTGACTCGGCCCCCCTGCAGCCTCGTGTCGAGGTTCCCCCTCTCCCCCCCATGCCCGACCCCATGCTAGCAGATGGACTGGTGGAGGGGCTGGAGGAGACTTTGAGGACAGAACCTCGCGAGGGAGAACCCATCCTTACCCCCCGTCCTCCAGCCCACCCCCCCCCCCAGGAGCACCACGTCCCCACCCCCACCCTCAGGTCCCTGTAGCATCCTGGGGGGCAGCCAAGGCCCTGGCCTTCTTGGCGGAGCCGTGCTCCCCGACCCCCACGCTGTTCCATGGCCAGCCCCCCTCTCTGTCCCCAACGCCTGACACCACGCTTACAGACGGTCCGCCAGGAGAGCACGCGGGCACGGCGAGGGCAGAGCCTCCTACACCCAGCCCCATCCTTGCCCCTCACCCCTCCTCGCCCCTTTCCTCTCCCCTAAGAGCAGCACACTCCCGCCCCCACCCTCAGGGGCTCCCTCTAGCATCACGGGGAGCAGCCAGGGCCATGGCCTTCTTGGCGGAGCCGTGCTCCCCGACCCCTAACACCATCCAGTCACCCCCCACCAGCCCACTACCCCCACCCCCTCCAGGTCCTCCCCCACCCGGGGCTATGCACATTTCAGAGGTTCAAACCTCAACCCTGCCACACCCGCCTCCATCCGCGCATTGCCCCACACCCTACACACACCCAAATCACCCAACTCGCCGCACAACCCCAACCCTCCCACCCTCCTCACACCAACCCCCCCAAGCATCCAAGTCCCAACCACAAGGACCCCTGCCCCTAGCTCAGGGAGGCGACACCATGGGCGCGGGGCCCACAGGAGGGGTTGCCAGTGGGAGGGGCTCTGGTGCCAACGTACAGCATGGGGGCACAACCTCTGAACCTCATTCCCCCCTCAATCCCCCCCCTTCCACCACGCAGCCACCACAGACCTCACTCCCTCCACTACAAGCACCACGCCCTAACCGCTACATTGCTCCAGCCCTTCGCCCCCCACCCACAACCCCCGCCTACAGCCTGCCTCACCACGAGTGGCCCCGTTGGGCAGACATCGCCCCCCACATACAGCCCACCACGGAGGGTGATGTCATGGGGAGAAGAGGGATGCACACTGAGCTTCCTCTACCTAGCCAACCACCCATCCTCCCCTCACCCATCCCCTTAGCCTCTCAGCCCGCCCTTCCCTCACAACCAGACAGGGACAACCAAAACCAGGTTGGCCGTCGACGGAAGAAGAAAGGCAAAGGCGGCAAGGGGCCAGCTCACCTAATCCCCCCTCCCTCCCTTCCCCTCCAGCCGCCCCTCCTCACCCCACATCCCACTGAACCTGCACCAGGCCCTACCCCTACATACCAACCACCAAACTCACACCCCCCTCCCGTACCTGCCCCTCCACAGGGCCATGGGAGCGATCCAGCCCACTCACCCCCGGGCCGCCTCTCCCTTCCTCTAAACCCCCCCCAGGTGGCGGCAGCCGTGTGCGCTGCCGGGATGGAGGCCGACGGGATGAGGGATGCGCCCATGGCAGACGCCACCGACTCCCCTTCCCATGCCTCCCACCCCATCCATGTCGACAGCCCCCTACCACAACCCATGGTCATTGGGGAGGGCCAAGGGGGCTTTCTAGGGCAGGGTCCACACCCGGGCTCTGCTCAGCCAGCACGCCCCACCCCACCCTCTACCCTGCCAGCCCTCCTACCCTCACCAGCAGGCAGGCAGGTCACCGGGACCCCAGAGGAGGTGAGGGCTGCCATCTCAGATCTGCTGGCGATACAGAGCCCGAGCAGCCCCCCGGCTGCCCCCACCCTACCAGTCCCACAGGTCCGGACCCGGACGTATGCGGAGGTCACCCGTTCTGTCCCTTCTTTCAACCCCCCCACTACTCAGCCAGGCGCGTCACTCCCGTCCCCGATGGAGACGGACCTGGTTCCGAGGCCGTGTCATTCGCACCTAGACGTGGCGGCGCCTCCCCCCGTTCAGCCCGTTGCCGACACACTACCCGCGACGCAGGAGGGCACCAACATTAGGGATGAGGCATCGGCCCCTGCCGAGACCCCTCCGCCTGGGGTAGCAGAGCCGCCACTTGGACCGCACCCCGCCGAGGGACAGGGGCACACCACGGCACACACTTCTGGCTCACCTCCACGTCCCCCCCCCCTAGCTTCGGGACCGGTACCGCCACGAGGCCCAGCCCCATCCTGTGTGGCACCACCTTTATCTTGTCCGACACCCCCCCTGCACGGGGCCGGCGAGTCCTCTCCTCCCCTTATCCCAGGTGATCCTCTTGGAGTTCAGGCCGCCCATGGGGTCCCCTCTACAGCCAGTTCCGACGCCACGGCCCCGATCGACCCCACCGACACGGCGACGTCACCCGACCAGGTCGTGAGATGCCCCACCTGCAGGAGCTCTCTCGCGAGCCGACGCGCGCTTCAGCACCACACGCCCTTCTGCCATCCTGCGGACGCAGCTCGTAGGGCACAGGCCCTCCACGACACCTCATCTGTCCTCCCATCCCTCTCGGAGCCACAGGGGACGAGGACGCATTTCACAGATGCACAGTGGCAGACGTTGGACTCCTTCGACTGGTCGGAGTATTTCTCGCCAGAGCGCACCCACGCCCGCCCTCTCCGACGCATTCCAACTAGGGTTCGCGGAGGATATCTTGACGTCCTCTGCACGATCTTAGCCCGTGTATCCCAGTATCCCGAGGCTCCGGGCCCTACCTTCCTCCTCGCCGCTGCACCCACACTTCTCCTCATGCAGGCGACCCCGCCAGACCGCTCGCACACGACTGCCATCGCAGCACGGGTCTCCCGCTTCATGCGAGGTGAGTGGACAGAGCTACTCTCTGAGGCCCTGATCCGTCGCACCCCCCTTCCTCGACGCACATCCCGGCGCGCACGTCCGGTCGCCACCCAGTCCACCGCAGATGAGCGTCGCATTGCACGTTGCCTCCGTCTGGCGGCGTGCAATGAGACCTCACGGGCCTGCGCGGCTCTTGAGTCCGCGGAGGCCGCCCCAGATACACAGGGGACGACGCAGCGCCTGAAGTCGAAGCACCCCAACGCGGAGAGGCCGACCCCAGCTTGGCTGTCGGACTACCAGGGGACTGCTCTCGTGCTCTCGACAGATCACCTACGTCGCGCCATCTTCACAGCTCCGCGCGGCTCCTCGGGGGGACCGTCCGGATGGGTTGCTGAGCACCTTCGAGACACTTTCTTGGCTTTCCCTCAGAGTCTCCCCTCTCTTCTAGCTGTGTACCAGCAGTGGCTCCGAGGTCGTTGCGCTCCAGCTACGCGCTCTTTACAGGCGTCTTCCACCCTCGTGGCTCTGGCGAAATCGAACATGGATGTTCGGCCGATTGCCATTGGCGAGGTGTTGGTCCGCATTCTTTCGCGAGCAGTTTGCCTCCAGCTACGCGACCAGATGGCGAGGGTCTTCTTGGCGTCCCAGCAGTTTGGGGTGGGGGTGACGTGTGGCACAGAGGTCGTAGTTAGAGGTGTCCGCCGTGCTCTGGCTGACCACCCGGACTGGGTGGTCCTGCAGCTAGACGTGGCGAACGCCTTTAACTCATTTCACCGAGACATGATGTTCCAAGCTTTGCAGGCCAGCCCAGAGTTCCAGTGCCTCATCCCCTTCATCAGCCTTTTCTACGGGACGCCCTCGGATCTCCACTACAGGACAGGTGAGGGAGTGGTCACGATGCACTCGGAGCGTGGCAGTCGCTAGGGAGACCCCCTCAGCCCCTTCCTGTACGCTCTGACACAGCGACTTGCCCTGGAGCCGGTTTTGATGGAGGGCGATGTCCAGCTCTGGTCGTACGCCGACGACACGTATGTGCTAGGCCCCCTAGAAAGGGTGCTACACCATTTCTCCGAGATCGTGAGGCGCTTGGGCGAGATGGGCCTCGCGGTCCAATCGCACAAGTGCCTCGTCTACCAGACTGAGTCTTTTTTGTCCAGGGACGTGGAGGCTTTCACGAGTCTTGGGGTCGAGGTCGCACGCCGAGGATTCACTGTGACGGGCGTGCCGGTGGGTACCGTTTTGTTTGTGGAACGCAGCGTCCCGGATCGTCTCGAGAAGATGGGGCGGGTGCTACCTTGGCTTCCGAGGTTGCGCCAGCCCCAGACAGCTCCTCGCCTTCTTTCGGCATGTGTCAGCACTCGCCCGCAGTACCTGTCGAGGACTGTCCCTCCCTCACCCGCAGTGCTCTCTAGCTTCGCACGCTGGGACGCACACCTGGGAGAGACTTTTCAGCAGCTTTTAGCGTCAGGGACATGGGCATGCCGCGAGGACGTCAAAGATGCCGCCAGCGACCAGATCTTCCTCCCCATCCGCCTTGGGGGTTTCGGCATTCGTCGCATGGAGCGCATTGCCCCGGTGAGTTTCGTGTGCTCTTGGGTGCAGTGTGCACCCATCCTCTGTTCTCTCCCTGTGTGCGGTGAGGTGTTTCGGCAGAGCTTTGCTTCCGGTGAGACGGAGCAGATCGACCCATCCCTACGGACGACGCTGGAGGGCCTTCCACCTGACATCCTCTCTCTCCTCCCACCCTGGCCCTCTTGTGCCTCTGCCTCCCCCGATTCCCTTTTTGCAGGAGCGAGCCGCCTTCTGGAGGCGCATGCCTTGGAGGCCGTGCGTGCCCGTCACACCTCTCCCTTGCACCTTGCCCGTTTGACTTCCCTTCAGGGCGTAGGTGCAGGTGGGTGGCTGCAGGCGGTGCCATACGCAGACGCCCTGCGCATTCCGGAGGCGGAGTGGCAGGTGGCTTCATCATGTCGTCTTGGTCTCCCTGTCCCCCAGTTAGCCCTCACAGGTCAGTGCTCCTGTGGACAGGCGATCGACGACATGACGGTGCCTCACCACGCGGTTCGGTGCCCACGATTCGGCGTCGCCACTGTCATCCACGACACGGTGAAGTTCGCGCTTCGAGACTTCGCTGTCGAGGCGGGCTTCGCGGTGAAGGTGGAGGACTCTACGCTGTTCACACACCTGGAGGCAGCTCGAGCGAGACTGCTGGGACAGCCGGTGGTGGGAGAGGGGACACGGGCTGGGGGGCCACTGGAGCAGGGGGCTGAGGCGGGACTGCCGGGCGGCGGGGCACAGTGGGGACAGCATCAGCTGCGGGGTCGGGTGGCGCGAGGGGCAGGTGGGCAGAGGGGACGGCAGGGGGTGCAGACCAGCCAGGGCGGAGAGGGGGGACAGCAGAGGCAGCAGCAGGAGAGCCAGCACAGGTCGCAGGCTCAGGGCGCCGCGCCTCAGGGTGTGGGCTCGGGGGTGGGGCAGGGACGAGAGCAGCAGAGAGCGGACGGGGGTACAGGGGGGGCGGGGAGATTGGGAGGTGAGGTTCAGGGAGTGAGAGAGGCAGCAGGGGATCGAGCAGGGAGGTTGGGAGGTTTGGGGGAGGGTAGAGAGGGGGAGGGGAGAGGACAGGTGGGTGGAGGAGAGGATAGGGGGAGAGAGACGACAGGAGAGGAGGCACCGAGGGACCAGACAGGGCAGCAGCCAGCGCAGCAGCAGGGACCAGCCGGACGCACAGGCCGTACAGGCACCTCCTCCCGCATCCCAGACCTCACCTGCCGAGACGTTGGGCAGACTTTGATGGTTCTTGTGGATGTCTCCATAGCGGATCCACAGCGGGAGGGGAACGTGCAGCTGGGACGGGCGACCCCCACACAGATTGGAGTGGCAGCAGCTAGGCGGGTGCAGGAGAAGCTGCGTCACTGGGGGCCGCACTTAGAGGGGTTGCAGCCGGCACCACACTTTTACGCGTGCGTGGCTGAGACCTTTGGCCTACTGAGCGAGCCGTTGCGTCAGTTCCTGGGGCTCTGCGCGAAGAGGATAGCACAGCGGAGGAGGGATTGGGGAGGAGGGGATGACGGATCAGCACGGATATTTGAGATAGGACTCACTACACGTCTCTCCGTGGCACTGCAGCGCGCGCAGGCTCGATGCATCTTACAGCATGCAGTGCGGCAGTTGGGGGGATCCGACGACGGATGGATGCCCGCACCCGTCCCACTGGGTGCGGGGCAGGGTACCTGGAACCATATCACAGGGTGCTTCGAGAGTGTTGCCGATATGCAATATATGTATGATGCATATGTGTAGAGAGTTTAGTGGCTGTGCTTGAAACGCTGTGCCCGCGTTTGTTGTGCGGGTTGCTGCCGTGTCTGGTCCCTTGGTGCTTCCTCCTCCTTAGTCTCTTTCCCTCTCTCTTCTCCTCTTCCCACCTCCCTCTTTCTCTTCCCTTCATCTATCTTTTCTCTTCTCTTCCCACCACTCTCTTCTTTTCCCTACTACTTCTTTTCACTCCTCGACCTTTTCTTCTTCTTTCTTTCTTCTTTTCCCTACAGACAGTATTTGTCGTCCTCATAGAGCAGTGGTTATGCCGAAATTTCCTCCTTCTGGAAAAACACTTATATTCGGCTTGTAATTGTATTTCCCTTATCAATAAATAACTGCTCTCGCCCACCGGCGCTTAGCTTCGGAGTTCTGATGGGATCCGGCGTAGTAGCCGAGGTATGGTCGTACCACGTCAATCCCGTGCCCCCACCGGTACACACCCCTTGCCCGGGTCCCCCCTTCATAGTCACACCCCCTGCCCCCTCATGCCACCCGCTCCCCCCGCCCCTACCCTCCGCGTGCCCGCTCCCTTGCCGCCTCTTTTGACCCTCCCTGCCCCCGCCTGCCCATGCCCCTGTCTTTGGCTTCTCCCCTCCCTGCCCCACGTTTCTTCCCTCCCTGCCCCCCCTCTGCCCCTCCCTTGTTTTCCCCTCACCCATTGCTTCTCCCCTCCCTGCCCTTGATTTCCCGCACCCCTGCCCTTGTTTCCTACCATCCATGCTCCTCGTTTCCCCCCTTTGTACGTTCAGCCTCTTCCCTCCCTGCCCCTCCCTTCCTCCCCCCCTGCCCTTTGCTTTCCCCTCGTTACGCTCCCTTCTCCCCATCCCTGCTGCCCTCTTACCACCATCAGCCCATCCCCACCACCAGCCCCCCTCCCACCCTTCTCTCCCCCCCTCCCTCTCCCTCTCCGTCTCTCTCTCTCTCTCTCTCTCTCTCTCTCTCTCTCTCACACACACACACACACTCCCCTCCCCCACCCCCCACCCACATCCTCCCATTCTGCCCCTCCCTGCCCCTTTCCCACCCCCTCGTATGCCCCTCACCTCCCACCTCCGTGCAACTGGTTTCCCCCCTATGGTGCCTCCCTTGCATCGCTCGCCCCTCTGCTCACCCTCTGCCCGCCCCTTTTCCTTGCCCTCAGCTGGGCCCAGCCCCTGCCCGTTGCTGCCCCTCCCCTTGCCCCCTCAACTCCCCTGCCCCCCGTACACCCCAGTCCCATCCAACCGCCCCCACCCTCCCCCGGCTGCCCGTTTCCGCTCTCCACCCCCGCGACCGTGTGCGGCTTCCAACCGCCCAACGGTGGTGCGCACGGGGCGTTTCTTCGCACGGGCAAGCCTCCCCGGGGGCCCCCCACCCCGCTGAGTCGTCGTTTGGGCAAAAAAACGAGAATAAAAGATTCGGACGCGCAAAAATCGTCCTTTCTTTTTCCCGCTTGCCCCTCCCCCGGCACGTGCCGAGCAAGGGGCATAAATGGGTACAACACGAGGACTTCCCGGGAGGTCACCCAGCCTAGTACTGCTCTCGCCCACAAGGGAGGTCCCCTTTGGCCCCACAGCCCCCCCTTCCTCCACAAACAGGCACGGACAACCAGGTTGGCCGCCGGCGGAAGAACAAGGGCAGAGGAGGCAGAGGGTCAGCCCCCGTACTCCCCCCTCCCTCCCTCCCCCACCAGGAGCCCCTCCCCACCCCACATCCCGCTGAACCCTTACCAGGCCCTACCCCTACAGGCCGACCACCAAACTTACACTCCCGTCCCGCACCTGCACCTCCACAGGGCCATGGGAGCGGACCAGCCCACTCACCCCCGGGCCGCCTCTCCCTTGCTCTACCCCCCCCCCAGGTGGTGGCGGCGGCCGCGAGCCCTGCCAGGATGGTGGCCGACGGGTTGAGGGATGCGCCCATGGCAGACGCCACCGACTCCCCCTCCCATCCCTCCCACCCCTTCCATGTCGACGACCCCCTACCGCAACCCATGGTGATTGGGGAGGGCCAAGGGGGCCTTCTAGGGCAGGGTCCACACCCGAGCTCTGCTCAGCCAGTACGCCCCACCCCACCGTCTACCCTGCCAGCCCTCCTACTCTCACCTACAGACAGGCAGGTTATCAGGACCCCAGAGGAGGTGAGGGCTGGCATCTCAGATCTGCTGGCGATACAGCACCCGAGCAGCTCCCCGGCTGCCCCCACCCTACCAGCCCCACAGGTCCGGACCCGGACATATGCGGAGGTCACACGTTCTGTCCCTTCTTTTATCCCCTCCGCTACTCAGCCAGGCGCGTCACTCCCGTCCCCAATGGAGACGGACCTGGTTCTGAGGCCGGGTCACTCGCACCTAGACGGGGTGGCGCCTCCCCCCATTCAGCCCGGGGCGCAGGAGGTCACCAGCATTAGGGATGAGGCGCCCGCCCCTGCCGAGACCCCTGCAGAGCCGCCACTTGGACCGCACCCCGCCGAGGGGCAGAGGCACACCACGGCACACACTTCAGGCTCACCTCCACGTCCCCCCTCCTTAGCTTCGAGACCGGTACCAGCAGGAGGCCCGGCCCCATCCTGTGTGGCACCTCCTCTATCTTCTCCGACACCCCCCCTGCGCGGGGCAGGTGAGTCGTCTCCTCCCCTCATCCCAGGCGATCCTCTTGGAGCTCAGGCCGCCCATGGGGCCCCCTCTACAGCCAGTTCCGACGCCACGGCCCCGATTGACCCCGCCGACACGGCGACATCACCCGACCAGGTCGTGAGTTGCCCCACCTGCAGGAGCTCTCTCGCGAACCGACGCGCGCTCCAGCACCACACTCCCTTCTGCCATCCGGCGGACGCAGCTCGCAGGGCACAGGCCGTCCATGACGCCACCTCGATCCTCCCTTCCCTCTCACAGCCCCGTGCGACTGGGATACAGTTCACTGACGCAGAGTGGCAGACGCTCGACTCGGTGGACTAGACAGAGTACTTCTCGTCCGAGCGTATCCATGCACGCCCTCTCCGGCGTGTCCCGGAGAGGGTCCGCGGAGGATATCTCGACGTTTTCAGTGCGATCCTAGTCCGCATTTCCCAGGACCCGGAGGCTGCTGGCCCTACCTTCCTCCTCGCTGCGGCGCCGACCCTTTTCCTCGCTCCAGCGACGCCACCCGACCGCTCGCACACGGCTGCCATTGCAACGCGCATCTCCCGCTTTGGTCGAGGTGAGTGGGATGAGCTACTCTCAGATGCACTAGGCCGCCGCACACCCCTCTCTCGGCGCACAGGTCACTGGTCACGCACCGCCACCGATCCCTCCACAGCAGATGAGCGCCGCATTGCACGTTGCCTTCGTCTGGCGGCGTGCAATGAGACCTCTCGGGCCTGTGCGGCTCTTGAGTCCGCGGAGGCAGCCCCAGATACACAAGGGACGATACAGCGCCTGCGGTCGAAGCACCCCAACACGGAGAGGCCGACCCCAGCTTGGCTGTCTGGCTTCCAGGGGTCTGCTCTTGTGCTCTCGGTGGATCACTTACGACGCGCGATCTTCACAGCACCGCGTGGCTCTTCGGGAGGACCGTCCGGTTGGGTTGCTGAGCATCTTCGAGACACTTTCTTGGCTTTCCCTCAGAGTCTCCATTTCCTCCTGGCTGTGTACCAGCAGTGGCTCCGAGGCCGTTGCGCGCCAGCTGCACGCTCCCTGCTAGCGTCCTCCACCCTCGTGGCTTTGGCGAAGTCGAACATGGATGTTCGGCCGATTGCCATCGGCGAGGTGTTGGTCCGCATTCTTTCACGAGCAGTCTGTCTCCAGCTCCGGGACCAGATGGCGAGAGTCTTCCTTGCGTCACAGCAGTTTGGGGTGGGGGTGACGTGCGGGACAGAGGTCGTAGTTAGAGGCGTCCGCCGTGCTCTGGCTGACCACCCAGACTGGGTGGTCCTGCAGCTAGACGTGGCGAATGCTTTTAACTCTTTTCACCGAGACAGGATGTTTCACGCACTGCAGGCCAGTCCGGAGTTTCAGTGTCTGATCCCCTTCATCGGCCTCTTCTACGGGACGCCCTCAGATCTCCACTACAGGTCAGGTACGGGAGTGGTCACGATGCACTCGGAGCGTGGCACTCGCCAGGGAGACCCCCTCAGCCCCTTCTAGTACGCTCTGACACAGCGCGTTGCCTTGGAGCCGGTTCTGTCGGAGGGGGATGTCCAGCTCTGGTCGTACGCGGATGACACGTACGTGCTAGGTCCCCCAGACAGGGTGCTACACCACTTCGCCGAGATCGTGAGGCGCTTGGGCGAGATGGGCCTTGCGGTCCAATCGCACAAGTGCCTCGTCTACCAGACAGAGTCCTTCCTGTCCAGGGATTTGGGGGCTTTCACGGGCCTAGGGATCGAGGTCGCACGCCGAGGGCTCACCGTGACAGGCGTACCGGTGGGCACCGTTTCGTTCGTGGAGCAGAGTCTCCCAGATCGTCTCGAGAGGATGGGGCGGGTGCTACCTTGGCTTCCAAGGTTGCGCCAGCCCCAGACAGCTGCTCGCCTTCTTTCGGCATGTGTCAGCACTCGCCCGCAGTACCTGTCGAGGACCGTCCCTCCCTCGCCCGCAGTGATCTCCAGTTTTACACGGTGGGACGCACGCCTGGGAGAGACTTTTCAGCAGCTTTTAGCGTCAGGGACCTGGGCTTGTCGTGAGGACGTCCGAGAGGCCGCCCTAGACCAGATCTTCCTCCCCATCCGTCTCGGGGGTTTCGGCATTCGTTGCATGGCGCGCATTGCCCCGGTGAGTTTCGTGTGCTCTTGGGTGCAGTGTGCACCCATTCTCTGTTCTCTCCCTGCGTGTGGCGAGGTGTTTCGGCAGAGCTTCGCTTCTGGTGAGCCAGAGCAGATCGACCGGGCTCTGCAGACGGCGCTAGAGGGTCTCCCACCTGACGTTCTCCCTCTCCTTCCCTCCTGGCCCTCTTGCGCTTCTGCCTCCCCTGATTCCCTTTTTGCAGGAGCGAGCCGCCTTCTGGAGGCGCATGCCTTGGAGGCCGTGCGTGCCCGTCACACCTCTCCCTTGCACCTTGCCCGTTTGACTTCCCTTCAGGGCGGAGGTGCAGGAGCGTGGTTGACGTCGGTGCCGTACGCCGATCCACTGCGCATCCCGGAGGCGCTGTGGCAGGTGGCGTCATCATCTCGTCTTGGTCTCCCTATCCCCCAGCTAGCCCTTGCAGGTCAGTGCTCCTGTGGACAGGCGATCGACGACATGACGGTGCCTCATCACGCGGTTCGGTGCCCACGTTTCGGCGTCGCCACGACCATCCACGACACGGTGAAGTACATGCTTCGAGATTTCGCGGTCGAGGCGGGCTTCGCGGTGAAGGTGGAGGACACCACATTGTTCACACAGTTGGAGGCGGCTCGGGCGAGACTGCAGGGACAGCCGGTGGTGGGGGAGGCAGTCGGGACAGCATCAGCTGCGGGGTCGGGTGGCGCGAGGGGCAGGCGGGCAGAGGGGACGGCAGGGGATGCAGACGGGCCAGGACGTGGAGGGGGGACAGCAGGGGCAGCAGCAGGAGAGCCAGCGGGGGCCGCGGGCCCAGGGCGTCGCACCTCCGGGTGTGGGCTCGGGGGTGGGGCAGGGGCGAGAGCAGCAGAGAGCGAACGGAGGTACAGTGGGGGGAGCGGGATCGGGAGGGGAGGACCAGGGAGTGGGAGAGGCAGCAGGGGATCGAGCAGGGGGGTTGGGAGGGTTGGAGGAGGGTAGAGAGGGGGAGAGGAGAGGACAGCTGGGTGGAGGAGAGGAGAGGGGGAGAGAGACGACCGGAGAGGAGGCACCGAGGGACCAGACAGGGCAGCAGCCAGCGCAGCAGCAGGGACCAGTCGGACGCACAGGCCGGGTAGGCACCTCCTCCCGCATCCCAGACCTCACCTGCCGCGACGTTGGGCAGAGTTTGATGGTTCTTGTGGATGTCTCCATAGCGGATCCATAGCGGGAGGGGAACGTCCAGCTGAGACGGGCGACCCCCACACAGATTGGAGTGGCAGCAGCTAGGCGGGTGCAGGAGAAGCTGCGTCACTGGGGGCCGCACTTAGAGGGTTTGCAGCCGGCACCACACTTTTACGCGTGCATGGCGGAGACTTTTGGCCTTCTGAGCGAGCCGCTGCGTCAGTTTTTGGGGCTCTGCGCAAAGAGGATAGCACAGCGGAGGAGGGATAGGGGTGGGGGGGATGACGGATCAGCACGGATATTTGAGGCAGGACTCACTACACGCCTCTCCGTGGCACTGCAGCGCGCGCAGGCTCAATGCATCATCCAGCATGCGGTGCGGCAGTTGGGGGGATCCGACGACGGGTGGATGCCCGCACCAGTCCCACTGAGTGCAGGGCAGGGTACTTGGCACCACGTCACAGGGTGCTTCGAGAGTGTGGCTGACATGCAATATATATATGATGCATATGTGTAAAAAAACAATAGTGGCTGTGCTTGAAACGCTGTGCCTGCGCTGTTGGGCAGGTTGCTGCTGTGTTTGGTCCCTTGGTGCTTCCTCCTCAGTCTCTCTCCCTATCTCCTCTTCTCTTCCCACCTCCCCTTTCCTTTCCCCTTCTTCTATCCTTCTCTTCTCTTCCTTCCCCTCTCTTCTTTTCCCTACTACCTCTTCTTACTCCTTGATCTTTTCTTCTTCTTCTTTCTTTCCCCTCTTTCCTACAAAAAATATATACCGTCCTCGTAGCGAATGAGTCATGCCGAAATTGCCTATTCTTGGAAAACCCACCATATTCGGCTTGTATTTGCTCTTCCCCTATTAATAAATAACTGCTCTCGCCCACCGGCGCTTAGCTTCGGAGTTCTGATGGGATCCGGCGTAGTAGCCGAGGTATGATCGTACCACGTCAATCCCGTGCCCCCACCGGTACACACCCCTTGCCCGGGTCCCCCCTTCATAGTCACACCCCCTGCCCCCTCATGCCACCCGCTCCCCCAGCCCCTACCCTCCGCGTGCCCGCTCCCTTGCCGCCTCTTTTGACCCTCCCTGCCCCCCTCGCCGTTTCCCACCGCCCGCCATTCGCTCCTCCCCGCCCGTGCCCTCCCCTCGTTTCCCTTCTCCTCCCCCCTCCCCTCCTCTGCTGCACGCCTCTTCCTTCCCCTCGCCGACCCACTCCACTCCCTGCCCCTCCTCAATCCGCACCCTGCCCCTCGTTTCTCGCCCCCCTATGCTTGGCTTCTCCCCTCCCTGCCCCTCGCCGCCTTTCTCCGCTCCCCACCTCCCCCCTCTCTCTGCCCCCCCACTCTCCCCCCCTTGCCCTTGGCTTCCTACCTCCCTGCCCCACCTTTCCCCCCTCTGTGTGCTCAGCTTCTCCCCTCCCTGCCCCTCCCTCCTCCCCGCCCTGCCCCTCATTTTCCGCCACCCCACGCCCGGTTTCTCACCTCCCCGCACCTCCCTTTCTTTCTCCGTGCCTCTCCTTTGCTCCCTCCCTGCCCCCGCCTGCCCATGCCCCTGTCTTTGGCTTCTCCCCTCCCTGCCCCACGTTTCTTCCCTCCCTGCCCCCCCTCTGCCCCTCCCTTGTTTTCCCCTCACCCATTGCTTCTCCCCTCCCTGCCCTTGATTTCCCGCACCCCTGCCCTTGTTTCCTACCATCCATGCCCCTCGTTTCCCCCCTTTGTACGTTCAGCCTCTTCCCTCCCTGCCCCTCCCTTCCTCCCCCCCTGCCCTTTGCTTTCCCCTCGTTACGCTCCCTTCTCCCCATCCCTGCTGCCCTCTTACCACCCTCAGCCCATCCCCACCACCAGCCCCCCTCCCACCCTTCTCTCCCCCCCCTCCCTCTCCCTCTCTCTCTCTCTCTCTCTCTCTCTCTCTCACACACACACACACACACACTCCCCTCCCCCACCCCGCACCCACATCCTCCCATTCTGCCCCTCCCTGCCCTTTCCCACCCCCTCGTATGCCCCTCACCTCCCACCTCCGTGCAACTGGTTTCCCCCCTATGGTGCCTCCCTTGCATCGCTCGCCCCTCTGCTCACCCTCTGCCCGCCCCTTTTCCTTGCCCTCAGCTGGGCCCAGCCCCTGCCCGTTGCTGCCCCTCCCCTTGCCCCCTCAACTCCCCTGCCCCCCGTACACCCCAGTCCCATCCAACCGCCCCCACCCTCCCCCGGCTGCCCGTTTCCGCTCTCCACCCCCGCGACCGTGTGCGTCTTCCAACCGCCCAACGGTGGTGCGCACGGGGCGTTTCTTCGCACGGGCAAGCCTTCCCGGGGGCCCCCCACCCCGCTGAGTCGTCGTTTGGGCAAAAAAACGAGAATAAAAGATTCGGACGCGCTAAAATCGTCCTTTCTTTTTCCCGCTTGCCCCTCCCCCGGCACGTGCCGAGCAAGGGGCATAAATGGGTACAACACGAGGACTTCCCGGGAGGTCACCCAGCCCAGTACTGCTCTCGCCCACGGAGGGTGATATTTCGAGGGGAGAGGGGATGCACACAGAGCACCCCCCGCCTGGCGAACCACCCATCCTCCCCCCACCCACCCCTTTGGCCCCACAGCCCCCCCTTCCTCCACAAACAGGCACGGACAACCAGGTTGGCCGCCGGCGGAAGAACAAGGGCAGAGGAGGCAGAGGGTCAGCCACCGTACTCCCCCCTCCCTCCCTCCCCCACCAGGAGCCCCTCCCCACCCCACATCCCGCTGAACCCTTACCAGGCCCCACCCCTACAGGCCGACCACCAAACTTACACTCCCGTCCCGCACCTGCACTTCCACAGGGCCATGGGAGCGGACCAGCCCACTCACCCCCGGGCCGCCTCTCCCTTGCTCTACCCCCCCCCCAGGTGGTGGCGGCGGCCGCGAGCCCTGCCGGGATGGTGGCCGACGGGTTGAGGGATGCGCCCATGGCAGACGCCACCGACTCCCCCTCCCATCCCTCCCACCCCTTCCATGTCGACGACCCCCTACCGCAACCCATGGTGATTGGGGAGGGCCAAGGGGGCCTTCTAGGGCAGGATCCACATCCGAGCTCTGCTCAGCCAGTACGCCCCACCCCACCGTCTACCCTGCCAGCCCTCCTACTCTCACCTACAGACAGGCAGGTTATCAGGACCCCAGAGGAGGTGAGGGCTGGCATCTCAGATCTGCTGGCGATACAGCACCCGAGCAGCTCCCCGGCTGCCCCCACCCTACCAGCCCCACAGGTCCGGACCCGGACGTATGCGGAGGTCACACGTTCTGTCCCTTCTTTTATCCCCTCCGCTACTCAGCCAGGCGCGTCACTCCCGTCCCCAATGGAGACGGACCTGGTTCTGAGGCCGGGTCACTCGCACCTAGACGGGGTGGCGCCTCCCCCCATTCAGCCCGGGGCGCAGGAGGTCACCAGCATTAGGGATGAGGTGCCCGCCCCTGCCGAGACCCCTGCAGAGCCGCCACTTGGACCGCACCCCGCCGAGGGGCAGAGGCACACCACGGCACACACTTCAGGCTCACCTCCACGTCCCCCCTCCTTAGCTTCGAGACCGGTACCAGCAGGAGGCCCGGCCCCATCCTGTGTGGCACCTCCTCTATCTTCTCCGACACCCCCCCTGCGCGGGGCAGGTGAGTCCTCTCCTCCCCTCATCCCAGGCGATCCTCTTGGAGCCCAGGCCGCCCATGGGGCCCCCTCTACAGCCAGTTCCGACGCCACGGCCCCGATTGACCCCGCCGACACGGCGACATCACCCGACCAGGTCGTGAGTTGCCCCACCTGCAGGAGCTCTCTCGCGAACCGACGCGCGCTCCAGCACCACACTCCCTTCTGCCATCCGGCGGACGCAGCTCGCAGGGCACAGGCCGTCCATGACGCCACCTCGATCCTCCCTTCCCTCTCACAGCCCCGTGCGACTGGGATACAGTTCACTGACGCACAGTGGCAGACGCTCGACTCGGTGGACTGGACAGAGTACTTCTCGTCCGAGCGTATCCATGCACGCCCTCTCCGGCGTGTCCCGGAGAGGGTCCGCGGAGGATATCTCGACGTTCTCAGTGCGATCCTAGTCCGCATTGCCCAGGACCCGGAGGCTGCTGGCCCTACCTTCCTCCTCGCTGCGGCGCCGACCCTTTTCCTCGCTCCAGCGACGCCACCCGACCGCTCGCACACGGCTGCCATTGCAACGCGCATCTCCCGCTTTGGTCGAGGTGAGTGGGATGAGCTACTCTCAGATGCACTAGGCCGCCGCACACCCCTCTCTCGGCGCACAGGTCACCGGTCACGCACCGCCACCGATCCCTCCACAGCAGATGAGCGCCGCATTGCACGTTGCCTTCGTCTGGCGGCGTGCAATGAGACCTCTCGGGCCTGTGCGGCTCTTGAGTCCGCGGAGGCAGCCCCAGATACACAAGGGACGATACAGCGCCTGCGGTCGAAGCACCCCAACACGGAGAGGCCGACCCCAGCTTGGCTGTCTGGCTTCCAGGGGTCTGCTCTTGTGCTCTCGGTGGATCACTTACGACGCGCGATCTTCACAGCACCGCGTGGCTCTTCGGGAGGACCGTCCGGTTGGGTTGCTGAGCATCTTCGAGACACTTTCTTGGCTTTCCCTCAGAGTCTCCATTTCCTCCTGGCTGTGTACCAGCAGTGGCTCCGAGGCCGTTGCGCGCCAGCTGCACGCTCCCTGCTAGCGTCCTCCACCCTCGTGGCTTTGGCGAAGTCGAACATGGATGTTCGGCCGATTGCCATCGGCGAGGTGTTGGTCCGCATTCTTTCACGAGCAGTCTGTCTCCAGCTCCGGGACCAGATGGCGAGAGTCTTCCTTGCGTCACAGCAGTTTGGGGTGGGGGTGACGTGCGGGACAGAGGTCGTAGTTAGAGGCGTCCGCCGTGCTCTGGCTGACCACCCAGACTGGGTGGTCCTGCAGCTAGACGTGGCGAATGCTTTTAACTCTTTTCACCGAGACAGGATGTTTCAGGCGCTGCAGGCCAGTCCGGAGTTTCAGTGTCTGATCCCCTTCATCGGCCTCTTCTACGGGACGCCCTCAGATCTCCACTACAGGTCAGGTACGGGAGTGGTCACGATGCACTCGGAGCGTGGCACTCGCCAGGGAGACCCCCTCAGCCCCTTCTTGTACGCTCTGACACAGCGCGTTGCCTTGGAGCCGGTTCTGTCGGAGGGGGATGTCCAGCTCTGGTCGTACGCGGATGACACGTACGTGCTAGGTCCCCCAGACAGGGTGCTACACCACTTCGCCGAGATCGTGAGGCGCTTGGGCGAGATGGGCCTTGCGGTCCAATCGCACAAGTGCCTCGTCTACCAGACAGAGTCCTTCCTGTCCAGGGATTTGGGGGCTTTCACGGGCCTAGGGATCGAGGTCGCACGCCGAGGGCTCACCGTGACAGGCGTACCGGTGGGCACCGTTTCGTTCGTGGAGCAGAGTCTCCCAGATCGTCTCGAGAGGATGGGGCGGGTGCTACCTTGGCTTCCAAGGTTGCGCAAGCCCCAGACAGCTGCTCGCCTTCTTTCGGCATGTGTCAGCACTCGCCCGCAGTACCTGTCGAGGACCGTCCCTCCCTCGCCCGCAGTGATCTCCAGTTTTACACGGTGGGACGCACGCCTGGGAGAGACTTTTCAGCAGCTTTTAGCGTCAGGGACCTGGGCTTGTCGTGAGGACGTCCGAGAGGCCGCCCTAGACCAGATCTTCCTCCCCATCCGTCTCGGGGGTTTCGGCATTTGTCGCATGGCGCGCATTGCCCCGGTGAGTTTCGTGTGCTCTTGGGTGCAGTGTGCACCCATTCTCTGTTCTCTCCCTGCGTGTGGCGAGGTGTTTCGGCAGAGCTTCGCTTCTGGTGAGCCAGAGCAGATCGACCGGGCTCTGCAAACGGCGCTAGAGGGTCTCCCACCTGACGTTCTCCCTCTCCTTCCCTCCTGGCCCTCTTGCGCTTCTGCCTCCCCTGATTCCCTTTTTGCAGGAGCGAGCCGCCTTCTGGAGGCGCATGCCTTGGAGGCCGTGCGTGCCCGTCACACCTCTCCCTTGCACCTTGCCCGTTTGACTTCCCTTCAGGGCGGAGGTGCAGGAGCGTGGTTGACGTCGGTGCCGTACGCCGATCCACTGCGCATCCCGGAGGCGCTGTGGCAGGTGGCGTCATCATCTCGTCTTGGTCTCCCTATCCCCCAGCTAGCCCTTGCAGGTCAGTGCTCCTGTGGACAGGCGATCGACGACATGACGGTGCCTCATCACGCGGTTCGGTGCCCACGTTTCGGCGTCGCCACGACCATCCACGACACGGTGAAGTACATGCTTCGAGATTTCGCGGTCGAGGCGGGCTTCGCGGTGAAGGTGGAGGACACCACGCTGTTCACACAGTTGGAGGCGGCTTGGGCGAGACTGCAGGGACAGCCGGTGGTGGGGGAGGAGACACGGGTTGAGGGACGGCTGGAGCAGAGGGGCGAGGCGGGACAGCCGGGCAGCGGGAGGCAGTCGAGACAGCATCAGCTGCGGGGTCGGGTGGCGCGAGGGGCAGGCGGGCAGGGAGGACGGCAGAGGATGCAGACGGGCCAGGACGTGGAGGGGGGACAGCAGGGGCAGCAACAGGAGAGCCAGCGGGGGCCGCGGGCCCAGGGCGTCGCACCTCCGGGTGTGGGCTCGGGGGTGGGGCAGGGGCGAGAGCAGCAGAGAGCGAACGGAGGTACAGTGGGGGGAGCGGGATCGGGAGGGGAGGACCAGGGAGTGGGAGAGGCAGCAGGGGATCGAGCAGGGGGGTTGGGAGGGTTGGAGGAGGGTAGAGAGGGGGAGAGGAGAGGACAGCTGGGTGGAGGAGAGGAGAGGGGGAGAGAGACGACCGGAGAGGAGGCACCGAGGGACCAGACAGGGCAGCAGCCAGCGCAGCAGCAGGGACCAGTCGGACGCACAGGCCGGGTAGGCACCTCCTCCCGCATCCCAGACCTCACCTGCCGCGACGTTGGGCAGAGTTTGATGGTTCTTGTGGATGTCTCCATAGCGGATCCACAGCGGGAGGGTAACGTCCAGCTGAGACGGGCGACCCCCACACAGATTGGAGTGGCAGCAGCTAGGCGTGTGCAGGAGAAGCTGCGTCACTGGGGGCCGCACTTAGAGGGTTTGCAGCCGGCACCACACTTTTACGCGTGCGTGGCGGAGACTTTTGGCCTTCTGAGCGAGCCGCTGCGTCAGTTTTTGGGGCTCTGCGCAAAGAGGATAGCACAGCGGAGGAGGGATAGGGGTGGGGGGGATGACGGATCAGCACGGATATTTGAGGCAGGACTCACTACACGCCTCTCCGTGGCACTGCAGCGCGCGCAGGCTCAATGCATCATCCAGCATGCGGTGCGACAGTTGGGGGGATCCGACGACGGGTGGATGCCCGCACCAGTCCCACTGAGTGCGGGGCAGGGTACTTGGCACCACGTCACAGGGTGCTTCGAGAGTGTGGCTGACATGCAATATATATATGATGCATATGTGTAAAAAACAATAGTGGCTGTGCTTGAAACGCTGTGCCTGCGCTGTTGGGCAGGTTGCTGCTGTGTTTGGTCCCTTGGTGCTTCCTCCTCAGTCTCTCTCCCTATCTCCTCTTCTCTTCCCACCTCCCTTTTCCCTTCCCCTTCTTCTATCCTTCTCTTCTCTTCCTTCCCCTCTCTTCTTTTCCCTACTACCTCTTCTTACTCCTTGATCTTTTCTTCTTCTTCTTTCTTTCCCCTCTTTCCTACAAAATATATATACCGTCCTCATAGCGAATGAGTCATGCCGAAATTGCCTATTCTTGGAAAACCCACCATATTCGGCTTGTATTTGCTCTTCCCCTAGTAATAAATAACTGCTCTCGCCCACCGGCGCTTAGCTTCGGAGTTCTGATGGGATCCGGCGTAGTAGCCGAGGTATGATCGTAGCACGTCAATCCCGTGCCCCCACCGGTACACACCCCTTGCCCGGGTCCCCCCTTCATAGTCACACCCCCTGCCCCCTCATGCCACCCGCTCCCCCAGCCCCTACCCTCCGCGTGCCCGCTCCCTTGCCGCCTCCTTTGACCCTCCCTGCCCCCCTCGCCGTTTCCCACCGCCCGCCATTCGCTCCTCCCCGCCCGTGCCCTCCCCTCGTTTACCTTCTCCTCCCCCCTCCCCTCCTCTGCTGCACGCCTCTTCCTTCCCCTCGCCGACCCACTCCACTCCCTGCCCCTCCTCAATCCGCACCCTGCCCCTCGTTTCTCGCCCCCCTATGCTTGGCTTCTCCCCTCCCTGCCCCTCGCCGCCTTTCTCCGCTCCCCACCTCCCCCCTCTCTCTGCCCCCCCACTCTCCCCCCCTTGCCCTTGGCTTCCTACCTCCCTGCCCCACCTTTCCCCCCTCTGTGTGCTCAGCTTCTCCCCTCCCTGCCCCTCCCTCCTCCCCGCCCTGCCCCTCATTTTCCGCCCCCCCACGCCCGGTTTCTCCCCTCCCCGCACCTCCCTTTCTTTCTCCGTGCCTCTCCTTTGCTCCCTCCCTGCCCCTGCCTGCCCATGCCCCTGTCTTTGGCTTCTCCCCTCCCTGCCCCACGTTTCTTCCCTCCCTGCCCCCCCTCTGCCCCTCCCTTGTTTTCCCCTCACCCATTGCTTCTCCCCTCCCTGCCCTTGATTTCCCGCACCCCTGCCCTTGTTTCCTACCATCCATGCCCCTCGTTTCCCCCCTTTGTACGTTCAGCCTCTTCCCTCCCTGCCCCTCCCTTCCTCCCCCCCTGCCCTTTGCTTTCCCCTCGTTACGCTCCCTTCTCCCCATCCCTGCTGCCCTCTTACCACCATCAGCCCATCCCCACCACCAGCCCCCCTCCCACCCTTCTCTCCCCCCCTCCCTCTCCCTCTCCCTCTCTCTCTCTCTATCTCTCTCTCTCTCACACACACACACACACACTCCCCTCCCCCACCCCCCACCCACATCCTCCCATTCTGCCCCTCCCTGCCCCTTTCCCACCCCCTCGTATGCCCCTCACCTCCCACCTCCGTGCAACTGGTTTCCCCCCTATGGTGCCTCCCTTGCATCGCTCGCCCCTCTGCTCACCCTCTGCCCGCCCCTTTTCCTTGCCCTCAGCTGGGCCCAGCCCCTGCCCGTTGCTGCCCCTCCCCTTGCCCCCTCAACTCCCCTGCCCCCCGTACACCCCAGTCCCATCCAACCGCCCCCACCCTCCCCCGGCTGCCCGTTTCCGCTCTCCACCCCCGCGACCGTGTGCGGCTTCCAACCGCCCAACGGTGGTGCGCACGGGGCGTTTCTTCGCACGGGCAAGCCTCCCCGGGGGCCCCCCACCCCGCTGAGTCGTCGTTTGGGCAAAAAAACGAGAATAAAAGATTCGGACGCGCAAAAATCGTCCTTTCTTTTTCCCGCTTGCCCCTCCCCCGGCACGTGCCGAGCAAGGGGCATAAATGGGTACAACATGAGGACTTCCCGGGAGGTCACCCAGCCCAGTACTGCTCTCGCCCACCGGCGCTTAGCGCCGGAGTTCTGATGAGATCCGGCGTAGTAGCCGAGGTATGATCGTACCACGTCAATCCCGTGCCCCCACCGGTACACACCCCTTGCCCGGGTCCCCCCTTCATAGTCACACCCCCTGCCCCCTCATGCCACCCGCTCCCCCCGCCCCTACCCTCCGCGTGCCCGCTCCCTTGCCGCCTCTTTTGACCCTCCCTGCCCCCCTCGCCGTTTCCCACCGCCCGCCATTCACTCCTCCACGCCCGTGCCCTCCCCTCGTTTACCTTCTCCTCCCCCCTCCCCTCCTCTGCTGCACGCCTCTTCCTTCCCCTCGCTGACCCACTCCACTCCCTGCCCCTCCTCAATCCGCACCCTGCCCCTTGTTTCTCGCCCCCCTATGCTTGGTTTCTCCCCTCCCTGCCCCTCGCCGCCTTTCTCCGCTCCCCACCTCCCCCCTCTCTCTGCCCCCCCACTCTCCCCCCCTTGCCCTTGGCTTCCTACCTCCCTGCCCCACCTTTCCCCCCTCTGTGTGCTCAGCTTCTCCCCTCCCTGCCCCTCCCTCCTCCCCGCCCTGCCCCTCATTTTCCGCCCCCCCACGCCCGGTTTCTCCCCTCCCCTCACCTCCCTTTCTTTCTCCGTGCCTCTCCTTTGCTCCCTCCCTGCCCCCGCCTGCCCATGCCCCTGTCTTTGGCTTCTCCCCTCCCTGCCCCACGTTTCTTCCCTCCCTGCCCCCCCTCTGCCCCTCCCTTGTTTTCCCCTCACCCATTGCTTCTCCCCTCCCTGCCCTTGATTTCCCGCACCCCTGCCCTTGTTTCCTACCATCCATGCCCCTCGTTTCCCCCCTTTGTACGTTCAGCCTCTTCCCTCCCTGCCCCTCCCTTCCTCCCCCCCTGCCCTTTGCTTTCCCCTCGTTACGCTCCCTTCTCCCCATCCCTGCTGCCCTCTTACCACCATCAGCCCATCCCCACCACCAGCCCCCCTCCCACCCTTCTCTCCCCCCCTCCCTCTCCCTCTCCATCTCTCTCTCTCTCTCTCTCACACACACACACACACTCCCCTCCCCCACCCCCCACCCACATCCTCCCATTCTGCCCCTCCCTGCCCCTTTCCCACCCCCTCGTATGCCCCTCACCTCCCACCTCCGTGCAACTGGTTTCCCCCCTATGGTGCCTCCCTTGCATCGCTCGCCCCTCTGCTCACCCTCTGCCCGCCCCTTTTCCTTGCCCTCAGCTGGGCCCAGCCCCTGCCCGTTGCTGCCCCTCCCCTTGCCCCCTCAACTCCCCTGCCCCCCGTACACCCCAGTCCCATCCAACCGCCCCCACCCTCCCCCGGCTGCCCGTTTCCACTCTCCACCCCCGCGACCGTGTGCGGCTTCCAACCGCCCAACGGTGGTGCGCACGGGGCGTTTCTTCGCACGGGCAAGCCTCCCCGGGGGCCCCCCACCCCGCTGAGTCGTCGTTTGGGCAAAAAAAACGAGAATGAAAGATTTGGACGCGCTAAAATCGTCCTTTCTTTTTCCCGCTTGCCCCTCCCCCGGCACGTGCCGAGCAAGGGGCATAAATGGGTACAACACGAGGACTTCCCGGGAGGTCACCCAGCCCAGTACTTCTCTCGCCCACCGGCGCTCTTACCTTGACCTAGCTTACCTAGCCATGGCTGCCTACTAAGGAGCCTCCTAAATCTACTATTTCGAGTTGCTTAAGGACCAACGAGGTAGTAAGGTTGTTTATATCATAGTTATAAAGTTTTCTAACGGTTAGTTTTGTGTTGCGACGGAGCGGTGCGCGCTGGTGACGAGTGTCGAGAGGATCGCAAGGGTCCCGCGTTCCGCGGGAACCGCTTGCGAACCGGTCGGAATCGTTCGCGCCTGACTGAGGCGATCGCGGAGTGACGGGAAACGAACGCGCGAGGTGGAGCGAGGCGTTTGCGCGGTTACAGCATCCGGGGACGAGTTAGATTTTGCTCCCGCCAGTAACGCTGCTCCCGCCCTACCTTTCCCCCCTTGTTTTCCTTCCCGATTCCCCTCTCTTTCGACATTCGACTATTGTTCCTTAGGTTAGAACCTCTCCGATAAGCCGATTTCCTAGCACATAGTCGCGCGCGACTCGGTTATTTTTCGTGGCCCACCTCTTAACGCTTTGTTTCCTTACCTCCGTTTCACGCGACAGTCGACCGTCGCGAAGGGAAACGCGGGAGGCCGCGAGACCGCCGCCTTTCACTAGCGGCGGTTACGAGGCGCCCCTTTCCCCTGCCGTGATCGATTGAGAGTAGCTTCCGCTCGCAGTTAGCATTCTTCCTTTCCGTTCAGTGCCCTTCTTGTACGCTCTGACACAGCGCGTTGCCTTGGAGCCGGTTCTGTCGGAGGGGGATGTCCAGCTCTGGTCGTACGCGGATGACACGTACATGCTAGGTCCCCCAGACAGGGTGCTACACCACTTTGCCGAGATCGTGAGGCGCTTGGGCGAGATGGGCCTTGCGGTCCAATCGCACAAGTGCCTCGTCTACCAGACAGAGTCCTTCCTGTCCAGGGATTTGGGGGCTTTCACGGGCCTAGGGATCGAGATCGCCCGCCGAGGGCTCACCGTGACAGGCGTACCGGTGGGCACCGTTTCGTTCGTGGAGCAGAGTCTCCCAGATCGTCTCGAGAGGATGGGGCGGGTGCTACCTTGGCTTCCGAGGTTGCGCCAGCCCCAGACAGCTGCTCGCCTTCTTTCGGCATGTGTCAGCACTCGCCCGCAGTACCTGTCGAGGACCGTCCCTCCCTCGCCCGCAGTGATCTCCAGTTTTACTCGGTGGGACGCACGCCTGGGAGATACTTTTCAGCAGCTTTTAGCGTCAGGGACCTGGGCTTGTCGTGAGGACGTCCGAGAGGCCGCCCTAGACCAGATCTTCCTCCCCATCCGTCTCGGGGGTTTCGGCATTCGTCGCATGGCGCGCATTGCCCCGGTGAGTTTCGTGTGCTCTTGGGTGCAGTGTGCACCCATTCTCTGTTCTCTCCCTGCGTGTGGCGAGGTGTTTCGGCAGAGCTTAAGCGGCTAGCACGGCCCGCATAGCCGCCGCCACACTACCCGTATAGCCGCCGCTAGCACAGCCCGCATAGCCGCCGCTACTAGCACTGCTCGCCGCGGTTAGCTCTGCCTGCATAGCCGCCGTTAGGACTACATGCACAGCCGCCGCCAGCACTGCCCTCACTACTGCCGCTATCACTACTACCGTCCGCAGCTCTCTCACTGCCCCTAGCTGCCCCCACGTTTAACCCTAATCTGCCGCAGCCGTTTTCTAGTCTACTCACAGCGCCTCAGTTTAGGCACATCACACCCTGTACGCCCACCCAACGTTTCACCTTGAGCATACGCACGTAGACCATCAAGCAAACTTCGTTCAAACCAAAAACAAAAGCAACAAAGAAGCTATAAGAACAAAAAAAAAAAAAAACAAAGATTCGAACCTTCTGCTCTTATACCAGCAGCTACCATTCCTTCTGTTCTCCTTTCCCCCCACACTGCATCTGCTTTCTCCCCCCCTGTTCCTCTCCCTTGTGTCCTACCCCGACCTACCCCGTCCCTTCCCCAAGCCCAGCCGTCCCCTGGCCCCTTCCGTTTTGACACTCTGTGTCCCCCTTGGCGGGAGCCCCACTCTCCACTCCCCTGTATGCTCCTTCCCCCCCTTCCCAGCCCGCTGTCCATCCAGCGCCCTGATTCATAGCTCATCCACACCCCCCCTGCCGCCTCTCTCTCACTTCCCACACCTCCTACTCCCCTCCAGGCATCGTATTCCCCACTCCCTACCGTCCCTCCCCCCACCACGCTACTCACCCCCTCCAGGAACTCAGCCCACAGACGCCAGGCCCGGCTCCCCCTCCCCCCTCCCCATCTCAGGAACGCACAGATACCTCAACTCCCCCCCCCTCATACCTCCCTGCCCCGACCATGCAGCTGCCATAGCCATGCCACGCCGGCCCCCCAATGTGGGAGAGGCCGGCCCTGGTTCAGCCCGACGCTCCAGCAGGACCCAGGGCCGCCCTTCCCCCTATCCCCCCCCTGCGCCCCCTTCCTATGTTAAGGGAAAACAGGTCACCCGCGACCAGTCACCCACAGGCGGCACACACACTGACCCCAGAGGTAAAAAACGAGCCATAGAAGAGACAGGGGCCCAACCACCACCGCACCAGCAGGAACAGGACCGCGAGGGTGCACACCCACGCTCCAAGACCCGGCACATCCCATCTGTCCCCCCACAGCCCCCCCCTCCAGGTGGCGATGACGGTGCAGCCCAGCAGTCCAACGATTCACCCTCCACCACACCCACCCGCACCCATACCGAAAAAACTAAATCACACAAACAAACAGAAGTACCGGACCCAAACCTTGGGAACACAACAGGCCCCACCCCCACTGGGGGGCTGAAAGGTAGAGCAAAGCAGGCCCGACCCGTGCCCGAGAGAGGAGGGGAGGGGAAAGGGAAAGCCAGGGCTCTGTACCTGGACGTGCATGAGCGTAGCGCCGAGCGTAAGGCCGAGGCGAGCGGGACTGCTGCGGGAAAAAGGGCTGGGGCTGCGGGAGGTACTGCAAGGGATGCCGTGGGGGCAGCATGGGATGCTAGGGGGACACCAAGGGATACGGCGGGGACAGCAATGGACACGGTGGGGACAGTAGAGGCTCCTGAAAAGGGCACGTCAGGGGGCGTGACTCTGGCCAGGCAAAGGGCAGAGGCCATGGAGACAGGTTTTGCAGGAGAAGGGGCTGCAGGACCCGCTGCTGTTTCGGCTGGAGGAACTGCAGCAGGGGAAGCTATAGGGACCGCAGCAGGTGAGGCCGCACAGACCGCAGCAGGTGAGGCTGCACAGACCGCAGCAGGTGAGGCTGCACAGACCGCAGCAGGTGAGGCTGTAGGGACCACAGCGGGTGAGGCTACAGGAGAGACCATGGCAGGTGAGGCCGCAGGGACCGCAGCAGGTGAGGCGGCAGGGACCACAGTGGGTGAGGCTGCAGGAGGGACCATGGCAGGTGAGGCCGCAGGGACCGCAGCAGGTGAGGCCGCAGGGGCCGCAGCAGGTGAGGCTGAGCAGATTCTAGCAGGTGAGGCTGCACAGACTACAGCAGGTGAGGCCGCAGGGACTGCAGCAGGCAAGGCTGCAGAGACTGCAGCAGGTGAGGCTGCAGGGACCACAGCGGGTGAGGCTGCAGGAGGGACCATGGCAGGTGAGGCCGCAGGGACCGCAGCAGGTGAGGCTGCAGGGACCGCAGCAGGTGAGGCTGCAGGGGCCGCAGCAGGTGAGGCTGCACAGACTACAGCAGGTGAGGCCGCAGGGACTGCAGCAGGTGAGGCCGCAGGGACTGCAGCAGGTGAGGCTGCAGGGACTGCAGCAGGTGAGGCTGCAGGGACTGCAGCAAGTGAGGCGGCAGGGACCGCGGCAGGTGAGGCTGAGCAGATTCCGGTAGGCGAGGCTTCACAGACTGCAGCAGGTGAGGCGGCAGGGACTGTAGCAGGAGCGACAGGGGCCACGGTGGGGGCTGGTACAGGGGGAGGTGCTACGGGGGCTGCAGCGGGGAAGGGTGTAACGGGGACTGGTGCGAGGGAGAGTGCCGCCCCGGCTGTAGCAGGAGAGGGTGCGGCAAGGGCCGGAGTGGGAGAGGGGACAGCAGAGGCCTCAAAGGCAGAAGGTGAGGCTGCAGCTGAAGCAGCAGGGAGGGCCATAGCACGGCCAGTAGGGGCGGCAGGGGCCGCAGCAAGCGCGGTGGAGCACACAGCAGGGCCGGCAGAGACTGCAGAAGGGGCTAGCAGTAAAGAGACAGCAGGTGGGGTGGGCTCGGGGGACATAGGGGCAACAGGGGGAGGAGAGGCGAGCGAGGTCCCAACCGGGGGGGCCACTGAAGGGGGGGATGTGATAGTGATAGAGGAGGATGAGGTAGAGGACGGGATGCACATCGACGGGCCACTGGCCCACTACCTCACGCTTGACGGCGAGGCTGACTCGGCCCCCCTGCAGCCTCATGTCAAGGTTCCCCCTCTCCCCCCCATGCCCAACCCCATGCTAGCAGATGGACCGGTGGAGGGGCTGGAGGAGACTTTGAGGACAGAACCTCGCGAGGGAGACCCCATCCTTACCCCCCGTCCTCCAGCCCACCCCCCCCCAGGAGCACCACTTCCCCACCCCCACCCTCAGGTCCCTGTAGCATCCTGGGGGGCAGCCAAGGCCCTGGCCTTCTTGGCGGAGCCGTGCTCCCCGACCCCCACGCTGTTCCATGACCAGCCCCCCTCTCTGTCCCCAACGCCTGACACCACGCTTACAGACGGTCCGCCAGGAGAGCACGCGGGCACGGCGAGGGCAGAGCCTCCTACACCCAGCCCCATCCTTGCCCCTCACCCCTCCTCGCCCCTTTCCTCTCCCCTAAGAGCAGCACACTCCCGCCCCCACCCTCAGGGGCTCCCTCTAGCATCACGGGGAGCAGCCAGGGCCCTGGCCTTCTTGGCGGAGCCGTGCTCCCCGACCCCTAACACCATCCAGTCACCCCCCACCAGCCCACTACCCCCACCCCCTCCAGGTCCTCCCCCACCCGGGGCTATGCACATTTCAGAGGTTCAAACCTCAACCCTGCCACACCCGCCTCCATCCGCGCATTGCCCCACACCCTACACACACCCAAATCACCCAACTCGCCACACAACCCCAACCCTCCCACCCTCCTCACACCAACCCCCCCAAGCATCCAAGTCCCAACCACAAGGACCCCTGCCCCTAGCTCAGGGAGGCGACGACACCATGGGCGCGGGGCCCACAGGAGGGGTTGCCAGTGGGAGGGGCTCTGGTGCCAACGTACAGCATGGGGGCACAACCTCTGAACCTCATTCCCCCCTCAATCCCCCCCCTTCCACCACGCAGCCACCACAGACCTCACTCCCTCCACCACAAGCACCACGCCCTAACCTCTACATTGCTCCAGCCCTTCGCCCCCCACCCACAACCCCCGCCTACAGCCTGCCTCACCACGAGTGGCCCCGTTGGGCAGACATCGCCCCCCACATACAGCCCACCACGGAGGGTGATGTCATGGGGAGAAGAGGGATGCACACTGAGCTTCCTCTACCTAGCCAACCACCCATCCTCCCCTCACCCATCCCCTTAGCCTCTCAGCCCGCCCTTCCCTCACAACCAGACAGGGACAACCAAAACCAGGTTGGCCGTCGACGGAAGAAGAAAGGCAAAGGCGGCAAGGGGCCAGCTCACCTACTCCCCCCTCCCTCCCTTCCCCTCCAGCCGCCCCTCCTCACCCCACATCCCACTGAACCTGCACCAGGCCCTACCCCTACATACCAACCACCAAACTCACACCCCCCTCCCGTACCTGCCCCTCCACAGGGCCATGGGAGCGATCCAGCCCACTCACCCCCGGGCCGCCTCTCCCTTCCTCTAAACCCCCCCCAGGTGGCGGCAGCCGTGTGCGCTGCCGGGATGGAGGCCGACGGGATGAGGGATGCGCCCATGGCAGACGCCACCAACTCCCCTTCCCATGCCTCCCACCCCATCCATGTCGACAGCCCCCTACCACAACCCATGGTCATTGGGGAGGGCCAAGGGGGCTTTCTAGGGCAGGGTCCACACCCGGGCTCTGCTCAGCCAGCACGCCCCACCCCACCCTCTACCCTGCCAGCCCTCCTACCCTCACCAGCAGGCAGGCAGGTCACCGGGACCCCAGAGGAGGTGAGGGCTGCCATCTCAGATCTGCTGGCGATACAGAGCCCGAGCAGCCCCCCGGCTGCCCCCACCCTACCAGTCCCACAGGTCCGGACCCGGACGTATGCGGAGGTCACCCGTTCTGTCCCTTCTTTCAACCCCCCCACTACTCAGCCAGGCGCGTCACTCCCGTCCCCGATGGAGACGGACCTGGTTCCGAGGCCGTGTCATTCGCACCTAGACGTGGCGGCGCCTCCCCCCGTTCAGCCCGTTGCCGACACACTACCCGCGACGCAGGAGGGCACCAACATTAGGGATGAGGCATCGGCCCCTGCCGAGACCCCTCCGCCTGGGGTAGCAGAGCCGCCACTTGGACCGCACCCCGCCGAGGGACAGGGGCACACCACGGCACACACTTCTGGCTCACCTCCACGTCCCCCCCCCCTAGCTTCGGGACCGGTACCGCCACGAGGCCCAGCCCCATCCTGTGTGGCACCACCTTTATCTTGTCCGACACCCCCCCTGCACGGGGCCGGCGAGTCCTCTCCTCCCCTTATCCCAGGTGATCCTCTTGGAGTTCAGGCCGCCCATGGGGTCCCCTCTACAGCCAGTTCCGACGCCACGGCCCCGATCGACCCCACCGACACGGCGACGTCACCCGACCAGGTCGTGAGATGCCCCACCTGCAGGAGCTCTCTCGCGAACCGACGCGCGCTTCAGCACCACACGCCCTTCTGCCATCCTGCGGACGCAGCTCGTAGGGCACAGGCCCTCCACGACACCTCATCTGTCCTCCCATCCCTCTCGGAGCCACAGGGGACGAGGACGCATTTCACAGATGCACAGTGGCAGACGTTGGACTCCTTCGACTGGTCGGAGTATTTCTCGCCAGAGCGCACCCACGCCCGCCCTCTCCGACGCATTCCAACTAGGGTTCGCGGAGGATATCTTGACGTCCTCTGCACGATCTTAGCCCGTGTATCCCAGTATCCCGAGGCTCCGGGCCCTACCTTCCTCCTCGCCGCTGCACCCACACTTCTCCTCACGCAGGCGACCCCGCCAGACCGCTCGCACACGACTGCCATCGCAGCACGGGTCTCCCGCTTCATGCGAGGTGAGTGGATAGAGCTACTCTCTGAGGCCCTGATCCGTCGCACCCCCCTTCCTCGACGCACATCCCGGCGCGCACGTCCGGTCGCCACCCAGTCCACCGCAGATGAGCGTCGCATTGCACGTTGCCTCCGTCTGGCGGCGTGCAATGAGACCTCACGGGCCTGCACGGCTCTTGAGTCCGCGGAGGCCGCCCCAGATACACAGGGGACGACGCAGCGCCTGAAGTCGAAGCACCCCAACGCGGAGAGGCCGACCCCAGCTTGGCTGTCGGACTACCAGGGGACTGCTCTCGTGCTCTCGACGGATCACCTACGTCGCGCCATCTTCACAGCTCCGCGCGGCTCCTCGGGGGGACCGTCCGGATGGGTTGCTGAGCACCTTCGAGACACTTTCTTGGCTTTCCCTCAGAGTCTCCCCTCTCTTCTAGCTGTGTACCAGCAGTGGCTCCGAGGTCGTTGCGCTCCAGCTACGCGCTCTTTACTGGCGTCTTCCACCCTCGTGGCTCTGGCGAAATCGAACATGGATGTTCGGCCGATTGCCATTGGCGAGGTGTTGGTCCGCATTCTTTCGCGAGCAGTTTGCCTCCAGCTACGAGACCAGATGGCGAGGGTCTTCTTGGCGTCCCAGCAGTTTGGGGTGGGGGTGACGTGTGGCACAGAGGTCGTAGTTAGAGGTGTCCGCCGTGCTCTGGCTGACCACCCGGACTGGGTGGTCCTGCAGCTAGACATGGCGAACGCCTTTAACTCATTTCACCAAGACATGATGTTCCAGGCTTTGCAGGCCAGCCCAGAGTTCCAGTGCCTCATCCCCTTCATCGGCCTTTTCTACGGGACGCCCTCGGATCTCCACTACAGGACAGGTGAGGGAGTGGTCACGATGCACTCGGAGCGTGGCAGTCGCCAGGGAGACCCCCTCAGCCCCTTCCTGTACGCTCTGACACAGCGACTTGCCCTGGAGCCGGTTTTGACGGAGGGCGATGTCCAGCTCTGGTCGTACGCCCACGACATGTATGTGCTAGGCCCCCTAGACAGGGTGCTACACCATTTCTCCGAGATCGTGAGGCGCTTGGGCGAGATGGGCCTCGCGGTCCAATCGCACAAGTGCCTCGTCTACCAGACTGAGTCTTTTTTGTCCAGGGACGTGGAGGCTTTCACGAGTCTTGGGGTCGAGGTCGCACGCCGGGGATTCACTGTGACGGGCGTGCCGGTGGGTACCGTTTCGTTTGTGGAGCGCAGCGTCCCGGATCGTCTCGAGAAGATGGGGCGGGTGCTACCTTGGCTTCCGAGGTTGCGCCAGCCCCAGACAGCTGCTCGCCTTCTTTCGGCATGTGTCAGCACTCGCCCGCAGTACCTGTCGAGGACTGTCCCTCCCTCACCCGCAGTGCTCTCCAGCTTCGCATGCTGGGACGCACACCTGGGAGAGTCTTTTCAGCAGCTTTTAGCGTCAGGGACATGGGCATGCCGCGAGGACGTCAAAGATGCCGCCAGCGACCAGATCTTCCTCCCCATCCGCCTTGGGGGTTTCGGCATTCGTCGCATGGAGCGCATTGCCCCGGTGAGTTTCGTGTGCTCTTGGGTGCAGTGTGCACCCATCCTCTGTTCTCTCCCTGTGTGCGGTGAGGTGTTTCGGCAGAGCTTTACTTCCGGTGAGACGGAGCAGATCGACCCATCCCTACGGACGACGCTGGAGGGCCTTCCACCTGACATCCTCTCTCTCCTCCCACCCTGGCCCTCTTGTGCCTCTGCCTCCCCCGATTCCCTTTTTGCAGGAGCGAGCCGCCTTCTGGAGGCGCATGCCTTGGAGGCCGTGCGTGCCCGTCACACCTCTCCCTTGCACCTTGCCCGTTTGACTTCCCTTCAGGGCGTAGGTGCAGGTGGGTGGCTGCAGGCGGTGCCATACGCAGATGCCCTGCGCATTCCGGAGGCGGAGTGGCAGGTGGCTTCATCATGTCGTCTTGGTCTCCCTGTCCCCCAGTTAGCCCTCACAGGTCAGTGCTCCTGTGGACAGGCGATCGACGACATGACGGTGCCTCACCACGCGGTTCGGTGCCCACGATTCGGCGTCGCCACTGTCATCCACGACACGGTGAAGTTCGCGCTTCGAGACTTCGCTGTCGAGGCGGGCTTCGCGGTGAAGGTGGAGGACTCTACGCTGTTCACACACCTGGAGGCAGCTCGAGCGAGACTGCTGGGACAGCCGGTGGTAGGGGACACGGGCTGGGGGGCCACTGGAGCAGGGGGCTGAGGCGGGACTGCCGGGCGGCGGGGCACAGTGGGGACAGCATCAGCTGCGGGGTCGGGTGGCGCGAGGGGCAGGTGGGCAGAGGGGACGGCAGAGGGTGCAGACCAGCCAGGGCGGAGAGGGGGGACAGCAGAGGCAGCAGCAGGAGAGCCAGCACAGGTCGCAGGCTCAGGGCGCCGCGCCTCAGGGTGTGGGCTCGGGGGTGGGGCAGGGACGAGAGCAGCAGAGAGCGGACGGGGGTACAGGGGGGGCGGGGAGATTGGGAGGTGAGGTTCAGGGAGTGAGAGAGGCAGCAGGGGATCGAGCAGGGGGGTTGAGAGGTTTGGGGGAGGGTAGAGAGGGGGAGGGGAGAGGACAGGTGGGTGGAGGAGAGGATAGGGGGAGAGAGACGACAGGAGAGGAGGCACCGAGGGACCAGACAGGGCAGCAGCCAGCGCAGCAGCAGGGACCAGCCGGACGCACAGGCCGTACAGGCACCTCCTCTCGCATCCCAGACCTCACCTGCCGCGACGTTGGGCAGACTTTGATGGTTCTTGTGGATGTCTCCATAGCGGATCCACAGCGGGAGGGAAACGTGCAGCTGGGACGGGCGACCCCCACACAGATTGGAGTGGCAGCAGCTAGGCGGGTGCAGGAGAAGCTGCGTCACTGGGGGCCGCACTTAGAGGGGTTGCAGCCGGCACCACACTCTTACGCGTGCGTGGCTGAGACCTTTGGCCTACTGAGCGAGCCGTTGCGTCAGTTCCTGGGGCTCTGCGCGAAGAGGATAGCACAGCGGAGGAGGGATTGGGGAGGAGGGGATGACGGATCAGCACGGATATTTGAGATAGGACTCACTACACGTCTCTCCGTGGCACTGCAGCGCGCGCAGGCTCGATGCATCTTACAGCATGCGGTGCGGCAGTTGGGGGGATCCGACGACGGATGGATGCCCGCACCCGTCCCACTGGGTGCGGGGCAGGGTACCTGGAACCATATCACAGGGTGCTTCGAGAGTGTTGCCGATATGCAATATATGTATGATGCATATGTGTAGAGAGTTTAGTGGCTGTGCTTGAAACGCTGTGCCCGCGTTTGTTGTGCGGGTTGCTGCCGTGTCTGGTCCCTTGGTGCTTCCTCCTCCTTAGTCTCTTTCCCTCTCTCCTCTCCTCTTCCCACCTCCCTCTTTCTCTTCCCTTCATCTATCTTTTCTCTTCTCTTCCCACCACTCTCTTCTTTTCCCTACTACTTCTTTTCACTCCTTGACCTTTTCTTCTTCTTTCTTTCTTCTTTTCCCTACAGACAATATATGTCGTCCTCATAGAGCAGTGGTTATGCCGAAATTTCCTCCTTTTGGAAAAACACTTATATTCGGCTTGTAATTGTATTTCCCTTATCAATAAATAACTGCTCTCGCCCACCGGCGCTTAGCTTCGGAGTTCTGATGGGATCCGGCGTAGTAGCCGAGGTATGATCGTACCACGTCAATCCCGTGCCCCCACCGGTACACACCCCTTGCCCGGGTCCCCCCTTCATAGTCACACCCCCTGCCCCCTCATGCCACCCGCTCCCCCCGCCCCTACCCTCCGCGTGCCCGCTCCCTTGCCGCCTCTTTTGACCCTCCCTGCCCCCCTCGCCGTTTCCCACCGCCCGCCATTCGCTCCTCCCCGCCCGTACCCTCCCCTCGTTTACCTTCTCCTCCCCCCTCCCCTCCTCTGCTGCACGCCTCTTCCTTCCCCTCGCCGACCCACTCCACTCCCTGCCCCTCCTCAATCCGCACCCTGCCCCTCGTTTCTCGCCCCCCTATGCTTGGCTTCTCCCCTCCCTGCCCCTCGCCGCCTTTCTCCGCTCCCAACTCCCCCCTCTCTCTGCCCCCCCACTCTCCCCCCCTTGCCCTTGGCTTCCTACCTCCCTGCCCCACCTTTCCCCCCTCTGTGTGCTCAGCTTCTCCCCTCCCTGCCCCTCCCTCCTCCCCGCCCTGCCCCTCATTTTCCGCCCCCCCACGCCCGGTTTCTCCCCTCCCCGCACCTCCCTTTCTTTCTCCGTGCCTCTCCTTTGCTCCCTCCCTGCCCCCGCCTGCCCATGCCCCTGTCTTTGGCTTCTCCCCTCCCTGCCCCACGTTTCTTCCCTCCCTGCCCCCCCCTCTGCCCCTCCCTTGTTTTCCCCTCACCCATTGCTTCTCCCCTCCCTGCCCTTGATTTCCCGCACCCCTGCCCTTGTTTCCTACCATCCATGCCCCTCGTTTCCCCCCTTTGTACGTTCAGCCTCTTCCCTCCCTGCCCCTCCCTTCCTCCCCCCCTGCCCTTTGCTTTCCCCTCGTTACGCTCCCTTCTCCCCATCCCTGCTGCCCTCTTACCACCATCAGCCCATCCCCACCACCAGCCCCCCTCCCACCCTTCTCTCCCCCCCTCCCTCTCCCTCTCCATCTCTCTCTCTCTCTCTCTCTCACACACACACACACACTCCCCTCCCCCACCCCCCACCCACATCCTCCCATTCTGCCCCTCCCTGCCCCTTTCCCACCCCCTCGTATGCCCCTCACCTCCCACCTCCGTGCAACTGGTTTCCCCCCTATGGTGCCTCCCTTGCATCGCTCGCCCCTCTGCTCACCCTCTGCCCGCCCCTTTTCCTTGCCCTCAGCTGGGCCCAGCCCCTGCCCGTTGCTGCCCCTCCCCTTGCCCCCTCAACTCCCCTGCCCCCCGTACACCCCAGTCCCATCCAACCGCCCCCACCCTCCCCCGGCTGCCCGTTTCCACTCTCCACCCCCGCGACCGTGTGCGGCTTCCAACCGCCCAACGGTGGTGCGCACGGGGCGTTTCTTCGCACGGGCAAGCCTCCCCGGGGGCCCCCCACCCCGCTGAGTCGTCGTTTGGGCAAAAAAACGAGAATGAAAGATTTGGACGCGCTAAAATCGTCCTTTCTTTTTCCCGCTTGCCCCTCCCCCGGCACGTGCCGAGCAAGGGGCATAAATGGGTACAACACGAGGACTTCCCGGGAGGTCACCCAGCCCAGTACTTCTCTCGCCCACCGGCGCTCTTACCTTGACCTAGCTTACCTAGCCATGGCTGCCTACTAAGGAGCCTCCTAAATCTACTATTTCGAGTTGCTTAAGGACCAACGAGGTAGTAAGGTTGTTTATATCATAGTTATAAAGTTTTCTAACGGTTAGTTTTGTGTTGCGACGGAGCGGTGCACGCTGGTGACGAGTGTCGAGAGGATCGCAAGGGTCCCGCGTTCCGCGGGAACCGCTTGCGAACCGGTCGGAATCGTTCGCGCCTGACTGAGGCGATCGCGGAGTGACGGGAAACGAACGCGCGAGGTGGAGCGAGGCGTTTGCGCGGTTACAGCATCCGGGGACGAGTTAGATTTTGCTCCCGCCAGTAACGCTGCTCCCGCCCTACCTTTCCCCCCTTGTTTTCCTTCCCGATTCCCCTCTCTTTCGACATTCGACTATTGTTCCTTAGGTTAGAACCTCTCCGATAAGCCGATTTCCTAGCACATAGTCGCGCGCGACTCGGTTATTTTTCGTGGCCCACCTCTTAACGCTTTGTTTCCTTACCTCCGTTTCACGCGACAGTCGACCGTCGCGAAGGGAAACGCGGGAGGCCGCGAGACCGCCGCCTTTCACTAGCGGCGGTTACGAGGCGCCCCTTTCCCCTGCCGTGATCGATTGAGAGTAGCTTCCGCTCGCAGTTAGCATTCTTCCTTTCCGTTCAGTACCCTTCTTGTACGCTCTGACACAGCGCGTTGCCTTGGAGCCGGTTCTGTCGGAGGGGGATGTCCAGCTCTGGTCGTACGCGGATGACACGTACGTGCTAGGTCCCCCAGACAGGGTGCTACACCACTTCGCCGAGATCGTGAGGCGCTTGGGCGAGATGGGCCTTGCGGTCCAATCGCACAAGTGCCTCGTCTACCAGACAGAGTCCTTCCTGTCCAGGGATTTGGGGGCTTTCACGGGCCTAGGGATCGAGATCGCACGCCGAGGGCTCACCGTGACAGGCGTACCGGTGGGCACCGTTTCGTTCGTGGAGCAGAGTCTCCCAGATCGTCTCGAGAGGATGGGGCGGGTGCTACCTTGGCTTCCGAGGTTGCGCCAGCCCCAGACAGCTGCTCGCCTTCTTTCGGCATGTGTCAGCACTCGCCCGCAGTACCTGTCGAGGACCGTCCCTCCCTCGCCCGCAGTGATCTCCAGTTTTACACGGTGAGACGCACGCCTGGGAGAGACTTTTCAGCAGCTTTTAGCGTCAGGGACCTGGGCTTGTCGTGAGGACGTCCGAGAGGCCGCCCTAGACCAGATCTTCCTCCCCATCCGTCTCGGGGGTTTCGGCATTCGT